CTCAGCTTGCATCTCACGTAATACTCTTAGCAAAATAATGTTCACGGAACTACCTGGATCAATAAAAACTCGTTTCACACTAGTATCATGTACAATTAAAGATATTACCAGGGCATCGTTATGAGCAGATAATACGCCACTTGCATCAGTATCATCAAATGTAATGTTGTCTTCCTCTAATACATGTCGCACCCGTTTCCCTTGAGTAATTGTGACTTTGAAATTTTTATTAGCTGCAGTGTACGTTACGCCATTGATGTCTTCACCCCCGCTTATAACGTTGACGGTCCTTTTTAGAGAAGGTGGTTTAGGGGGTTCTTGCCTATCCTTCATGTAAGCTTGCTTACCTTTCTCACTGAATAACTCGGTGAGATACCCTTGTTTTAATAAATGATCAACTTCACTTTGTAAAAACATACAGTTTGCTGTTTTATGCCCGTGATCATTATGAAACTCATACCAATGATCAGGGTTGCACCTGTTTGGATTCGATCTCATCTCTTTTGGCCACCGTACCTTGTCACCAATGCTTCTCAAAATAACTACGAGCTCGGAAGTGCTCACATTGAAATTGTAACCGCCAAATCTCGCCTTCAAATTTCTATTATCATCTCGTGACTCATGGGTGTTTCGGTCATTCCTAAATCTTGATGAAGAGCCTGACTCTCTATTCCTTGATCCGTGATCATACCTTTGATTGTCATGTTTTGACCGTGAATCTTTTCCCGCAGGTCCCATGTATGGCTCGTACCTGTTTTTACCGAACCTCTTTTCGGTTTTCGCCCGTCTCGAACTTGTTTTTTTTGGAATCGTGGAACAATATCTTCTTCTATCCTTAGCTTCGTGCTATACCTGTTGTAAACGTCATTCCATGTTGTAGCTGGGAATTCACGAAGACTTTCATTGAATCGCCTCGTAGCTTCTGAGCTCTTTCCATTCAAGTTACTTGTGAAAGCTATAGCTGCCCAATTATCAGGTACATGTGGTAATGTCATTCTTTCACGTTAGAATCCATCCACGAACTCCCTAAGAAATTCTGAGTCCCCTTGCTTGATCTTGAAAATATCTTCCATTCTTTTTTTGACTTTTTGAGCTCCCGAGTGTGCTTTGATGAAAGAATCTGCAAGCTTAGCAAAAGAATTTATAGAATTTTCGGGAAAATAAGAATACCATGTTAATGCACCCTTGATGAGTGTTTCACTGAATTTTTTGACTAATAGTGATTCAATCTCGTGCTTGGTCAAGTCGTTGCCTTTTACACCTGTTGTGAATGCAGTCATGTGGTCTCGTGGGTCTGTTGTTCCATCGTATTTAGGAATATCAGGCATTTTGAATTTCTTCGGAATTGGGAGGGGAGCAACCCTTGGCTTCCAGGGTTATTGCGAATATTTATCCGTATCTATCCCTTTGATTACAGGCGGCACCCCGGGTATTTGCTCTATGCGGTCATTTTGCTCCTTGAGCTGTTTCTGCAATGTTAGTACTAAATTTTGTAAATCAGAATTGACTAAGTTACCTGGTTCTCCCTCCTGTGATTCGCTGGGAGTTCCACCGTTACCTGAATTAACAAGCCCTGAACGAGGGTTCTCCAAAGTGTTGTTATTTGAAGTGAGTGTGGGTGGTGCAACAGGTAACTGGCTAGCAAAAGCCTCAAGAGCTTTATTGACCTGTGCATCAATTAGTTTCTGCAAAGCTTTATCGATAGCTTCAACATTTTCAAATTAAGCGTTTCCATTTGTATGAGATCCATCAGGAGAGCCTTCACAAGACCGCCGAGGAGAGCCTCGTGGAGAAGGGACCGGGGTTTGATTATCCTGTGGATTTCCCTAAAGTTGTTGGTTTCCTTGAATGCTGTCATTATTGTTCGACATGGTTGATACAACAAGGAAAGTTAAGCTAAAAGAGGGTAGATTATCAGATTTTCGGTAACAGAACCAATTTGTTTAACCAAAAAATGAGATTTCGGTCAAAGCTTTAATTTTAGAAGAACTCGGGTTATTGATAATCAAAAGTATATATGAAAGAAAGTAATTTTACTAGCAATGATATAATAAGAAGAAAACAAGTAAACCAGTATATTCAGATAGTTTTTCGTGTGTGATACAATTGACCCACTCTCCCCCTTTTATAGCTATTTTGGGATATGCGTTTTGCCTTTATCATAATAAGGCCATTATGGACAATTAAAAACATTAAATACTACGTTACATAATCATTGCATTTAATACAGATTTTCTAATGTTTTTAGTATTTAAGGCTCAATAAATACTGTATCTATACTCCCATGTAGTGTAAGATTCATTCCCCTTAATTCTTGGACTTAAATAAGCCCGAGCGCAAAGTCTTTTACATAACCACTCGTGTCTCTTCCTTTGCCTCTGCTCGTATCTGTTGCAACTCGTGCCTCTTTGCCAGTTGTAACTCTTTGACCAGTCTATGTGCCATGACACGTCATCTTTACACCACTTTAACATGTAAACTCAATTTTTCCCAATACAGTTTTGTTGATTTTTTCTCTAGTCTTGCCTTTTCATATTATTAAATAATCATATTTTATCATTTACACTACTTTTTCTATAATAATTCTACTTCATGTTTTATTTTTTCATAGTAATATTACAAATTTATTTTTCATATTCATCAAATTATGATAAACAATATAATCTATAATATTTATGGAACATACAATATAATGTTCGCTCAATAAAAATCGCTCCGCACAGGTTTATCGCAAACACTTTTCTGCCCAGGTCGTCTGTTTTTCTTGCTCTTCTTATTCTTCTTTCTTATCTTGTACGACGGCTTCCATCTAATAACTCTATCGTTCTACTCCTTGTCCAACCGGAAAGAAGAAAAAGTTTCAAAAGAGTTCGGTTTTGCTAATAAACAATATAGAAGCCGCATACTTTCCCAAACAAAACCTCGTTTCTCACTCATACAAAAATCGAATTTGAGAATTTGGGACTGAGAAGAAGAAGAAGGAGCCATGGGAGAAAGGAAAGTATTGAACAAGTATTATCCGCCGGATTTCGATCCAGCGAAGATTCCACGGCGGAAACAGCTTCCGAATCAGCAGATGAAAGTGCGCATGATGCTTCCTATGAGCATTCGTTGTGCTACTTGCGGCAATTACATCTATAAGGGCACCAAATTCAATTCCCGAAAAGAGGACGTAGTTGGCGAGGTATTTACAATTTTTACCCCTTTGCTGTTATTGCTAACCCTTGCAATTAGGGAATCTGGGATTTCTGTTATATGTATTGCCCAATTGAGAATTTTGTGATATTGGTCCGGTGAACTTTAATTTTTTGTTCTTGTGTTATTTTGGAGATGCTTTTGTTTCATTTTGAAGTGTCATGAGTATCTGATAAACCTATGTATGTAGTGGCAATTGGAATTCTTGTTAGGTTTTAGAATGGCTGACTGTTGGTTAAAAATTGGATAATACTTATGTTCCGAATCTCAATTGGATAGTACATATATTGGGTGACTGTTGGTGAAAGATTCGAACTTGGCTTTGAAACGGATAGCTGAATTAAATCAAATATGTATAGAGGTTTGGCAAATTGCTGTTAATTAGTACTAGATTTGTCTGTTTAGTTAAACACCAAGGAATTGCTTCTTCGTGCTGCTAATGTTCTTAAATTTGTTTGTCACCAGATATATAGAAAGCTTTGACATGATGACATCTATGTATTGGCCAAGAAATCCGCCGACTTCCTTTCCTTGATCGCAAGCTATAAGATTCCTACCATACACTTTGATATCTTGGATGAACTTACGACTTAAAACCATGATAATATCCCCTTAAAATACCTTAGTGGTCATACTCAGTGTCACTCTAATTAATACATCATCGGCGAAGTAAATTGACCTACCCTGCACTATGTTGTTATCTTCCAGTAGCTTGGTAGCCATTTATATAGCTCTTTCCCTGCCCTTATCCATCATTTGGCTGAGGACCTCCATAGAGAAAATGTATAGGATAGGAGCAGATGATTTGCTGATTTAAATCCGCATTGTAATCTGAATATATTTGGATGCAACATAATCAGGAACCGGAACATGAGAATGAAAATAAACAACCAGATCCCACCTTAAACCCATTTTCCCCAGCTGAATATTAAGAAAAAAGTGCTTGGTGCATGATTTTTGCAAGTCAAGATTGCACAGAAATTTGGAATTTCATCCTTCACTCTTGAAAGTGGCTATTTTATCCCTAAATCATAGAAATTGATAATGGCTCAATAACAATTAGTGAAACATCTAAAATTTGTTTACAAAAAAGCAACAGTAGAAATAAATCATCTAGTGTCTGTCTTCTTGCAATTAAAACAGGTTGTGTATAAGTCTATAAGAGGCATCTTGTTAAGAAATTTATTTTTTAGTTTAAGAGAGAGTAGCTTGACATTAAACATACTAACTAGCCAGTCTGAAGTCCTTACTCAGTATGCCCCTTTGTTTTTAGAAATTTGAGCAGTAAGTTAGGCTGTGATAATTCTTTTTTTTTTTTTTGTGGAATGGTCAAACAGTGATAATTCTTTCAAAAGTTACACTGTAGTAGAAATCAGTCTAATATATTCATATGTTCTGTGTGTATATATCTATATCTATGTATGTATATGTTGTTGATGTGAATTATAATCACGTGTCAAATTATGCAGACCTACTTAGGAATACAAATCTTCAGATTCTACTTCAAGTGCACAAAGTGTTCCGCAGAGATTACCTATAAGACAGATCCAAAAAATTCCGATTATACTGTTGAATCAGGTGCAACTAGGAATTTTGAGCCTTGGCGTGGCCAAGATGAGGTAAGAATTTTATCAACTTAAAGTCCTATTCACCACTTTCTTCCCCAGTGGAAGGAGTGCGAACCCTATGTTATATAAATTTCCAATTTTTAGGTAGTAGGTTCCAGAATCTTGTGAATTCATGTTTATGTTTTTATGTTTGTTTAGGAAATGGAGAAGGAGAAACAGAAAAGAGATGCTGAAGAAATGGGTGATGCAATGAAGTCATTAGAAAATAGAACCTTGGATTCGAAGAGAGAAATGGATATTATGGCTGCATTAGATGAGATGAAATCCATGAAAGTGAGTCTTGAAGTTATTTCTTCACTTTTTTCGTGACTAAATTATTTTGTGATCTGGATTTACACTTATGTATGTTTTTTTCGCACTATATTGCTGTGTTTTAATATATATTTTTCTGCTAGTTTCTTACCTTGTTCTTCCATTTTTCCAGTCGAGACATGCAACTGTGAGCGTAGATGCAATGCTTGAAGCTTTGCAGCGGGCAGATGAGGCAAAGGTATGATTGTGTTTTATATTGTTTTCCCACTTGAATAGGAGTGAAAATGTTGTCCTTGATGACTAGCGTTCAGCATTATCACAATACTGCTGGTTGATAAATTTGGAGAACTTCAAGTTCATTCCTACATAAAGTTGCTAATGTTATGAACTTCTTTTGACATATACTGTGGCTTTTGCTTGAGATCAGTTGTGACCAAAGCTTTCAAAAGCCTTAGTAGTTTATCAGATCAAATTAACATGCTCCACTATCGGGATTCTGGACCTTTTTTTTGGGATTCTATATGCTCAAATGACGATATAGCTCCTATAATTAAGAATCAAATCACAGGCTAAATTCTTCTATTTACTTCTTGAACACCATCTCGTATTAGATGTTGAGTGGTTGCCTACCTCAACCTCAAGACACCTGTTCAAACTCTGGGAGAGAGGGGATGACCAAAATTAAAAGAAATGGGTGAAACCACACATTTCAAACTCTATGAGATCATTGGAGATGTTTAACCGGTAGCGAAGAATCACAGAGGTTCTTAGCACTGAAAATATCTGTAGAAGGTTGAGTCCAGTAAGAAGTATGAAGAGTCGAAGGAGTTTAAAAGAAAGTATTCACTTAAATGATTGGTTATTCAGGGTGATGAAAACAATTATGTGATTAAGATCTACTAACTAATAGGGGAGCCCCAGTAGTGCCACTCTTCACCGGATCGTGATGGTTTATGAAGATCTGTTGAAGAACATTTTTATAATTATTTGATGAGTAGGTGAAACATTTGATGGACTGCCTTGTTTACCATATTAATGCTTGTCCTGACAGGCGAGGAAGCTGGAGGAAAAAGATGAAGCTCTCATAAGATCAGTTTTCCAGGTTGGTATATGATAGTCTGAATACCTGTTATTTGTTCATAGATATTTGTAAGAGCTTTAATTTCTTAAGAAGTTTTGTTGGTCTTGTGATTTCAAATCAGGGTTCAAGAGAGATAATCAAAAGAATTCCTGATGAAGAGCTTGAGGAGGACGATGATGATTTAGCTTTTTTTGCCCCAGAAAGTTCAGGGTCAGAAAACAACTCTCTTAAGGTACAAGTGGCTGGTCATTTAATTCAGTTTTCCATCTTTTATGTTGCATCAACCTGCTTCTATACAAAATAGACTCTAATAAATGTCGTGTATGATTATGCTTTGTTCATGGGTTTGAATACCAAGAAAGTACCATACATTAGATCTACAGTTTTATCTATGTGATTGTCCTGATGACATGTACAAATTTTCCGCCTGCCTTCATATAATTTGTAAACAATTTCCTACTTTGTTCAGTAAATCAGACATGAACAATTTGCTATGTCCTCCTGAGTTAGTCGTAACTTTGAAGTTGGTGTCTTATTTTCTCTTTGTAGCATCTTGCAGATACAAATAGTATACAAACAATAATCACGTGGTCCACAATCAGAAAAAAATCAGGTGGTCCATGTAGACTTAACTAAAGATAGAGCACAATGGAGACCTACCATCCTTGGAAGTTGTCTCAAAAGATCTATAATCTTTGGAATCGGTGTAGGCTTAGCTAAAGATAAGATAGAAAAGAAGAAAAAGATCCATATAGGTGATACTTACTAGTTAGGAATATGCTTTAAATTTGTTAGAGAACTATTAACGTTAGTACTATGTTTTATTTTTAATTTATTTATTTATTTATTATTATTATTATATTATTATTATTATTACTAGTGGGATAAGGTTTGCGTACACACTACCCTCCCCAGACCCCACTAGTGTGATTTTACTGGGTCGTTGTTGTTGTTGTATTATTATTATTACTATTACTATTCCCTCTGTTTCAAAAAGAATGAACATATTTCCTTTTTTGTCAGTTCCAAAAAGAATGACCCCTTTCTAAATTTGGAAATAATGTAACTTTAAACTTCCCATTTCACCCTTAATCAGATGATTTATAGCCACACAAATATTTACACATTGATTTGGACTACAAGTCTCAAAAGTCCTTTTTTTCCTTAAACTCCGTCCCGGTCAGATAGGTTCAAACGAATTGAAATGGAGGGAGTATTATGTTTATGTATATGTGTGTATATATATATATATATATATATATATATATATATATATATATATCTAACTTATTTTCACTACTATCATTTTGTTTTGGTATGATTATGATATGAGTTGAGCTTAACGAAAGAAGTAGGATTCATATAGTCGACCCCAACATTATTTAGGTCTGAGGTATAGTTATTGACGTTATTGTCCATAGAACTAAGAGAATAATAAGGAGGATTGGTTTGAGTAATAATTAGAAAATTTTCAGGGCTAGCTCTTAGAGTCTAGCACCCCGAAAATGGGGTGTGATGTGATGGCGCCCAATCTATCTTACTCGCGGAGCAAGCCCTGTTCTTTCTAATTGTAAGCGCTAACAAGGTTATTAAAGCTGACCAATTATGAATAACTTTTAATAATACCATCTAAAAAAATAACTAAGAAGAGTTTAGAAAAACTTTATCAGAAAATCTGAACCTACCAATCACAAGTCATGAGCCTCGAAGGACTGAAATTGAGAACAATGTATTCGGGGCATTCTCTTGGAATAACAAAAATATCTAAATAACTGAATGTCTGGAATAGTCAACCAACAACAACAGCAAACCCACTTTAATCCCATAAATGGGGTCTGGGGAGGACGCAGACCTTACCCCTACCTTATAGAGATAGAGAGGTTGTTTCTGATAGACCCTCGACTCAAGGAACAATGGAGATAAAACAACCAAGTAGCAAACAATAGTAACAATAATGTAATATGGTAACAAGCGCGAATGCCACAACATGTAATAATAAAGAACCATGAATACGAAATTATAAAAATAGCCCTAGTACTACTGGTAAGCCTAGGAGGAAGACACTACTATCTGTCAACCTATAATCTTAATCCTTGACCTCCACACCTTCCTATCGTGGGTCATATCCTCGGTAAGCTGAAGCAATAACATGTCCTGCCTAATTACCTCTCCCCAATACTTCTTAGGCCTATCCCTTCCCTTCCTCAGACCCGCCATGGACAACCTCTCACGCTTCCTGACCGGAGCATCTATGTCTCTCCTCTTCACATGCCCGAACCATCTCAGCCTCGATTCCCACAATTTGTCCTCCACAGATGTCACTCCTACCTTGTCCCTAATAACTTCATTGCTAATCATGTCTTTCCTGGTATGCCCGCACATCCATCTCAACATCCTCATTTCAGGTACTTTCATCTTCTGTACATGGGACTTCTTGGCCACTCAGCCCCATACAACATAGTCGGTCTAACCACAACTCTATAGAACTTGCCCTTTAAGTTCAGGTGACACATTCTTATCACACAAAACCCCTGAGGCGAGCCTCCATCTCATCCACCCCGCACCAATACGATGAGTAACATCCTCGTCAATCTCCCTGTTGCCTTGAATAATAGGCCCAAGATACTGGAAACTATCTCTTTTGGGGATGACTTGAGTACCAATTTTCAGTTCCTCTTCTTCTTCAGGCATCCCATCAATGAACTTGCACTCCAAGTACTCAGTTTATGACCTACTCAACTTGAAACCTTTAGACTCCAGCGTTTGTCTCCAAACTTCCAACTTAGCGTTAACTCCGCCTCACATCTCGTCAATCAAAACTATGTCATCAGCAAATAGCATACACCATGGCATTTCCCCTGGTATGTGTCGCGTCAGCACATCTAACGCTAAGACAAACAAAAAGGGCTAAGAGCCGATCCCTAATGCAACCCCATCTCCACTAGGAAATGATTCGAGTCTCCTCTCGCAGTCCTCACACGAGTCTTCGCTCCCTCGTATATATCCTTAATCGCCCTAATGTACGCTACCGGGACACCGCTAGCCTCTATACATCTCCATATGGCCTCTCTCGAGATTTTATCATAGGCCTTCTCTAGGTCAATGAATACCATATGCAAGTCCTTCCTCTCCCTATACTGCTCCACCAATCTCCTCACAAGGTGAATGGCACCGTCCCAGCATAAACCCGAACTGGTTCTCGGAAATAGTAACACTATGTCGCTCTCTAGAGCCGTCAAAATGGGTTTGGCCCGTGAGACCAGCCCAACCCAACTCGCTATTTGGGTAGGGTTGGGTTGGGATTTTTTTAGCCCATTTAAAATTGAGGCTTATAAACCGGCCCAAGTCAGCCTGCTGGTCCTTGAGGCTTGATCGAGGCCAGCCCGTGGGGCAAAAATTAATTAAATTCAAATTTAAATATTTTAAAAAGTAAAAATTAAAAAACTCTTAAATATAATCCCCATTTTCCAACCTTAAATTGCTCATTTACCTTTCCATATCAACTAGAATTTATATTTTTGATATGCATGTAGTAGACAAGATTAGTTTTTCTATTGCTTAATTAACAACGAACCAGGAAAGTTTTAAGTGGCCATTAATAATTTTTTCAAAAAGAAAATATTACTTTAAGTGGCCAATGATCAATTTGGTTACTTTAACATATTATTAATTATTAAATTGCTCTTAAGTAGAAAAAGATCAAGTTTTAATAGCCAAAGAAAATTAACAACACTAGCAAATTTCATTAATTTTAAAGTTTTTATGGACTATAATGATGAAATCAATAAATAATGTTAAACCTAAATTAAAAAACCTTAACATATAAACTTATTGAAGCAATTCCTGAACCTAAGCACCACCAAAGGATGTGGTGCAGTGGATGAGACTGCTCTTCCCTTAACCAGAGGTCTCGAGTTCGAGCCTTGGGTATGGAAAAATCCTTGGTAGGGAGCGCTTCTCCCCGAATGGGGCCCTACGCGACGCGAATCCGGATATAGTCGAGCTCCAATGCGGGTATCGGACACCTAGTGGGAAACCAAAAAAAAAATTCCTGAACCTAAGGAAAGTGAAAGAAAAGTACTAAAAAAATATTTATGTAATGTTAAAAAAAGAAGAGCTAGATATATAGAGAATTTGCATTTCAATTACGAGATTCCTTACCAATTATCAAGATTCTTGTACACTCTAAATAAACAGAAGTCGTTCATATGATTAAGAGATTATGCCACAGAAAAATATCTAAAGATTTAAAAAAATATTTTTTTCTAAAAAAATTGAAGGGCTCACCCGCCCTAGCCCACGACCCTCTTAGGGCTGGGCTGGAGGGCCGCAGGCTAGGGCTGGCCATTTTAAGGCCCGTATAGATGGAGGGCCGGTCCGTCCTAACCCACCAAATTTAAAAGCCCACGAGGCTTGGGCTGGGCTAGCCCGCTTTGACAGCTCTACTCCCAAACTTTCATGGTATGACTCAGCAGCTTGATACCCCTATAGTTGTTACAGTCCTATATATCACCTTTGTTTTTATACAACGGGATCAACAAACTCCACCTCAAATCTTCGGGCATCTTCTTCGTCCTGAAAATGACATTAAACAAACCGGGAAGCCACTCCATGCCTGCCCGACCCACTTCCTTCCAAAATTCCGCTGGGATCTCGTGAGGCCTAGTAGCCTTACTCTTGCTCACCGTCCGGCGTCCGCATTGCCCCCTCCACCTCCTCGCTGATAATATGCGAACAAAACCCAAAATCCCTTTGGCTACCTGTATTTTTCAACTCACCTAGTACGATGTTCCTGTCCCCTCCCTCGTTCAAGAGTCTATGGAAGTACTCCTGCCATCTACGCCTGATACACGCCTCTTCCACTAGAACCTTACAATCTTCGTCTTTTGTGAGAATGTACGGGAGAAAAATCTATTTATTAACAATGATAGAATGAGCCTTATATAATACATATTCTACTCCTGCTACATATGGGGATATATTCTATTTCTACTACATATGGGACCAGGACATATTCTACGCCTACTACATATGGGACTAGGACTATTTACACATAACTATCTAACACTCCCCCTCAAGCCGGTGCATACAAATCATATGTACCGAGCTTGTTACATATGTAACTAATGAAAGACTTGGTGAAAATATCTGCAAGCTGATCATTCGACATACAAGGCTACTAGAGTCCCCTTGAGCAACAAAACCAAGTGGTTGCTGCTGATAAACATAAGTTGGCCGGAATTTGATTTAAATTGGATGGGTAGGCTCGAATTTGCGAGGAGAAGACATTGTCCTGAAGTTCTCCCAAAAATTGGTCAGAAACAGCCTCACTCGCCGGCGCGTGGACGTTAGAACTTCGTCGGAGAAATATATCTGGCAGCCCGTGCGTCCTTTTCTGCCGGAGATTTTTATAAGGGTTATTCGCCGAGCCCTGATCTACTTCCTGGTGGTGTTGGTTTTTGCGCAATACTGGCAGATACTATTGTTTTTGCGGATAAACTTGTTTTTGCCGGGAAAAGGGCTTCCAGTTGAATATTTTCTCTTTCCGAAGTTGCTGGAATTTATGCACAGCGATAAATTTCTCACGATTGCTCTGATACCATGTGAGAATGTACGAGAGAAAAATCGATTTAGTAACAATGATACAATGAGCCTTATATATAATATATATTCTACTCCTACTATATATGGGACTAGGGCATATTCTATTCCTACTACATATGAGACTAGGACATATTCTATGCCTACTACTTATGGGACTAGGACTATTTATACATAACTATCTAACATCTTTGATGCACCGCACTTGGTCCAAGTCCCGAGCCTTCCTCTCCCTAATATTGGCTAACCTGTACAGCCTCCTGTCGCCTCCTGTGCTCCCAAGAATCTCATACAATCGCTCAAAAGCTGCAGTTTTAGCCGCCGTGACTGCCAATTTTGCCTCTTCCCTTGCCTTCTTATAACACTCCCTACACGTCCTCTTCTCCTCCTCGTCTGTGCTCTCCACTAGCTTCAAGTGTGCCGCTTTCTTAGTTTCCACTTTTCCTTGGACCTCCTCATTCCCTGATTGCTTGCCATTTTATATAGGTTGCGAAATTCATCCGTTAGTGCCACAGGTCCCAGCCACTTATCCTTCCATAACTTTAGTATTAAAGTTAGTAACTTTAATACTAGGAAGTAACAAAAATTACCTTCAAACAGTGCCTCCACAAACCCTAAGTTTTGGGTCTTGAAGAACTCCTTGATTCATGTATGGAAACCTAGATTTTAGGAATTAGAAGGTGTTAAGTGATGATAATTTCTTTTTTATAATGTGAATTCATGGTAAAGATCTAACCTTGCGGGAGTAGTGTGGAACCCTAGTTTGATTTTTCCTCAAAAGCTCTTAAAAAGTGATAAGAGAAAGAGTAATTTTTCTTTCTTCCCGTCTCCCCTTTTTATACTTGGAGCAGGGCTTATGCGTGCCAACATGTAGCTATGCGTGCCAACGTGTAGAGAGACCCCATCCCTTTCTCCCCTTTAGCTTGTTCTCTTGTAAGTGTGGCCACGCCTTGGCAGTTATGCCACTCTTTGGTAAACGGGTCTTTACTTTTCGTAGTAATGTCAGAATGATGAACGGTTTGAAGTTCTGGACACTAAACTCAGAGACCTTTTATTTTATAAATGGCTCCTATCTCAATTCATTATAAATTGGGAGATATGACAGTTTGAAGTCGGGACATTTGCGACTATGTTTGCTTCTTCTCTGAAATACTTATTTGTTTCATACCTCCTCGCCCCTCTCCTAAACAACCGTGCTACCTTCCAAACATAAAATGTAGGAATCATATACCTTCAAAACTTTTCAAACACCCGTATGTCCCACTTAGAGCCTGAACATGGACGTAATGCTTAGCGAAAAATCGGGGGCAACGCTAGAGATAGTTGTTATGCTCTAAGGTGAAGCACCTTGTAGATCTGTTATCGTCACTTGAGCAATCTTATATATTGTTTATAAAACTGGTAGTGTTCCTAATTTGTCGTCCATCAATGGTTGAGTAAATAGACTTGGGATTATGTGCGGGAACTCACTTTTAGGCTCCTTGGCTACAAACTGTGTTTTAGGTTCACTTATGATATCAGAACCTTTTCTACACTAGAATAGTAAGCTTAGTTCCCTTTGCTCGGCAACTTGAGTGCACAGGAAAGTACCATAATGCTGTTGAATTAGCTCAAATTACCCCCAAATGACAATCTTGGAAGTAGAGTTTTCTTTCAACGCCTTGGCTGTAGCACGAAGCTTGTCTTGGAATCTTTTACATTATGATATATGAATAGCATAAGATTGATATTATCATTAAATGATCTGTATATTATTTTTTCATTTATTTAAATAGAACATAAAATGTGCGAAGGAACTATAAAATTCTGTTTATTATCTTCCTTTACTAGGAGGCCCAATAAGTGGCAGCGTCTACCAAATGATCAATCTCTTTTGCATTTGACCTGTCGTATGTTTTACATGCAACTAAATAGAAGTAGAAAATTACCATCTCAAAAAAAATAGAAGTAGAAAATTACAATGTCCATCCGCAAAATTAGAGGACAGTTTTGTTGGGAGCATTTACTGTTAGATTGAAATCTCAAATTTCATCATGCCTGAAGTCTCAATCTTCTTTTTGTTGTTTCTTATTAACATTAAGCTTGTTATTCTTTAAATGCAGAGGAGAAAGGTTTCTGAGGAACCTAATGAAAAACCCACAAATTTTTTGACAAAAGCCAGCGTTACTGACAGCTCTATCAACGAAGGTTGGTTTAGTCGACCCATCTGATTCTTGTTCTCAGTGTATCATTGCTTCCTACTCTTCCTATAACCTTTTATGTCTCTATATATTTTTTGGATCAGAATACTCTTCATTTATGACTATCATGTGAGTGAATTTCCATTTGAAGAAGTCTTTGAAGTGATTTCCATCCGTTGCGTGTAATATTTGCTTCCTGAAATCGGAGGCTGGTGATGATAGTGATTGCATAGTTGCCCACAAAGCAATCTGTTGTCTTTCACTTTTTTATTTTTTATTTTTATTTTTTTTCCGCATGGCTTGTTCTCTCTTTTATTTCCTTGGGGAGGGTTGAGGAAAGATTGGGGGTGGAGGGCTGTGAGTTAGAGGTTTCAGCCTGGAAATTTGATGGATGAGATGTCATTAACTCTTCAATTATCATAGATTTTGCTGGTTTTACTTTGAAAATAAACTAATAATGGTCATAGATACTTTTTTTTGGGGTCATTTGGTGATTAATACTGAGAAAAATAGCCTTTTAGGGATCTGACCCTGTTTCATGACTTATGTTGCAGATAAAGCATCATCGAGTGATGGTAAAATCATTTTCAAGTCCTCATCAATCAAAATATCCGTAGTTAAGAAGCCGCTCTCAGATTCCAACAGCAAGAAGAGAGTAGAAGGAAAGCAGCAAGAGGCAGAAAAGACTGGTGGGACAAGCAATGGTCTACTATCGCTATGTCAACAATATGAAAGTGATGAAGATGACTGATTCAATGATTCCTATAAGCTGTCAATGTCCATATATCCGCCAAAACTATTAATTAATTGCGGGGTGCTATTTTCATCGGGAATGCTCTTTCTCTGTGCACTTGAAGCTTAAGCTTTGGCTCTCTGCAAATCGCCAGTTTGTAGGTATAATATAATAACTATCCTCTTCGGTTCACGCACCAAATCTCAAGTTGCTTTCTTCTGAATTATTCTTGTGACAATCTGAGTCTTTTTTACTGCTCGACAATTTCTTTTTTTCTGAAGGATTTTTTAATTTGTAGGTGATATTTTTGCGAACCAGGTTTGCTGAGTTTATAGTTGTTACAGGAACGAAATCTCCTCTTCTTTCCCCTCATCCAACCACCCACCCACCCACCCAGCTAATTTTAATTTTCATTGAAAGTATAGTGGCTGAGAGGATTACATTATCCATTTTTTCCTAGGTAAAAAGAAAAAGGAGAGGAGAAAATTGCAGCCGTTTACTTTATCTGCTGGACGTTTCCCTAACTGTTTGTTTCTACTTATTGGGTTTGAACTTGAATTAATCAGATTTGAGTCCATTAAGTACAGTTTTTGTAACCATTTATTTGGTTAGAGCATAACAGACTTGTCTTTAATTTACTCATTAGAATTCGTCTTCTCTCATTTAATTTCCTTTTATTTCTAACTAGTTTCTGCACTCAATTAATGTTACGAATATGGCCAATTTTGGTAAATTCCACTAGAAAATATATTGTTTGTATTTATTTAATAATTTTTTTGCACATATACATAATCCGAATCAAAACTACTGAGTTTGAATGAATTCATAAGTTATACTCTAGATCGAACCCTGTTGTTAATGCACCGATCTTAATTCATATATCCTTAGATTATATTCTTTAAACTCCAATCTACTTACTGAAAATACAATTTGTACTGGGGAAATTTTTATCACATTTTCAAATAATTTGGTGCAATTACAACTTCTATTTTTAAACTAGAGTTAATTACATTGTTGACAACTATATAAATTGGATTTATTTGTCATAGAAAATTTGGCATACGACAAAGTCGAGCACCAAAGTGAAAAGTTCATAGTCAATGCCAATAAGAGAAAAAAGGCGGATCTAGAATTTGAATTCTATGAGTTCAATATTTAAGGCTCTTAGTATTCTCAAAATTATATTATATAGTTTTGGATTTTATATCTATTATTTATTATAATTTTAGTAAATTTTTGCGCATAATCTTATGCTCTGCATCAAAAATATTAGATTTAGATGAACCCGGAACCATTACATAGATTCGCCCCTGCTCATAAAAAAACAAAAATAACACTTAGAACTTTCATTTTCTTAACACAATTAAAGCAAATCACACATGTACGTTGCTAAAAGCAAGTGTTGTTATGTGAAGTTTTCCCGATACAAATTCAACCAAGTGTTAGGAACTAAAAGTCTACTCTAGATCGACTTCATATAATGTGGTTCATCTTTAAATAAAAATTAGTCACGCCAAACAAATCTTTCTTATTATAAAGTATATATATTTCTATTATTTTATGCCGTTCTCCTCCTCCCCCTCCTTTTTTTTGGCTTTCCCCAAGTTTTTCAAAAGGTTGCATGCAGAGCAATTCATGGCATGTGAAGGCATGTTAAGACAATATAAAAGACGTGCAAATTAGCTGTGAAACAGTGAACATGTCAAATAATATACGTGAATATGTGTTGTTTTCTACGTGACCATTTGCTGTCACCCCACGTTATCTTTGAATTGAAAATTTCCTTNATATATATATATATATATATTATTAAGAGATCGTTTGGTAAGGTGTATAAAGATAATCTTGAATAGTGTGTATTAGTAATGCTGAGATTAATAATGTTAAGATTAGTTATAAAGGGCAGCCCGATGCACTAAGCTCCTGCTATGTGCGAGGTCCGGGGAATGGTCGGACCATAAGGGTCTAATGCTAGGATTAGTTATGCTGGACTTATTTCCGATCGATTGTTTGGTTTATTAAAGGTTTTAAAATGTCAGTTCTGTTTTTATATATGCTTATCCATGTATTAAAAGCCATGGTAGTTCTAATATCATAGTTTGTTATGTATAAAAATAGTTTTGAATAGTGTGTATAACTAATATCATAAGTTGAAAAACAATATCAATAAGGAATAAATAATACCAAAACTAGTACATATATTGTTTTCCTTACTGAAAAGTCATTCATAGTATTTATTTGTAGTGTGAATTACACTGCTAATTAAAAATTGGATGAAAGTAGCGCCTAAGATTAAGTTATTCTAGGGACTAGGAATGGAATCTTCTCATTTGCTTAAAAGTCATTCCTAGTATTATTAGTAGTGTGATTACTACTTAAAAAAGTAATTACTGTACTGCTAAGATTAGCTATTTTAGGGTTGGAATCTTCTCATTCTTAACGCCCCCCTCCCTTTTGTTTTCTCCGTTTCTTTTTTCAAGGTCGAATGGTTTAATGTTTAATGTAAGAAACTAAGTAACATCTACAATAAGTACTCTAAGGTTGTCACAAGGTGGTATCTATCCTTAATTAGAAATATTAGGTTCAAGTTTTGAGAATAAAATTGTGTTTGATAGGAAATATTTTATTCTCAAAATGTGACTTCCATGCACAAATTCGAATTAATCAAACTCTAAAACGAGTACCGGATATCGAGTGACAAAAAATAGTATAAAGTCACATCTTCACATTAATGAGGAAAAACAGTCAGGAGTGATAGTCATTCAATTTTTCGAGAACAAATCTTATATCTAATTGATTTGACATATTATAAGTCTAATTTTATTTTTGTGTAATGATCTATTCTTTACTTGAATAATTGAATTACATGAAGAGACAGTAGATTTGCCAACCTTTACTCACTTTCTAAGTAGATGGAAACTGACCAAATAAAAAGGAAATTGTGACCAAATCCACCACTACTATACTTTTCCATCGAGAAAAATCTTTTGGTGTCGTCTGAACAGTTCTTTGAAAGAGATTTCCAAAATATATTTGATTTTTTTTTCTGAAACTCATAATAGTTTTTTGCTTGATAGACTAATTAGTTACTAAATAAAAGTATTAGATTAATCATCAATTGTTTCTTATGATTCTAGGAATTTAGAATAAGAAGAGGGTTAGTGTTGCTCCCAAACGCACACGCAAGTATACGTGGTCGACAAGTAATATAATGATAAGTTGAGTGTCGAATCCACAGAGACTTGTATAAACTACTCACTAAATCACTAAAATTGTTATTCAATCCAGCTAAAATCAAAGTCCAATAATGTGATTATACTATACTACGATTCTAAATAATAACAAAATTATCAAGTAACAAATTGATTGTTGTGTATTCAGTAGAGACAAGTATTCCAGGGTTGTGATCGATTCACCTTTTGTATTGTGTTCTAATTAACTTTCCCTTTCACATAATTCAGTCATGGTTGCTAATTAATCGATAAATGCTCTCATAGCCTTCTCCCGAAGTACCACTCACTACTCACTAAATCACTAAAATTGTTATTCAATCCAGCTAAAATCAAAGTCCAATAATGTGATTATACTATACTACGATTCTAAATAATAACAAAATTATCAAGTAACGAATTGATTGTTGTGTATTCAGTAGAGACAAGTATTCCAGGGTTGTGATCGATTCACCATTTGTATTGTATTCTAATTAACTTTCCCTTTCACATAATTCACTCATGGTTGTTAATTAATTGATAAATGCTCTCATAGCCTTCTCCCGAAGTACTACTCACATATTCTCAGTAGATTAACGCCTATATTCCTATGAAATCAATCTATTAAGAATGAATTAAGATCACGATATTTAATTAAGCACGGTGACTAGGTATATTCCTATCCTAACCACAAATCCGCTCCCCCTAAGGGTTAAGATCGTGCTCTCTTCAATTCTTCTCTAATCTAAACACGACTTTCCCAAGCATAGCATAGATAGTAAATAGAACCTAACTGCTGGCCAAACAATTAAGCAATTAATCACAGAATTGAAGAAACAACCATATATTGGTAAATTATAATCAAGGTCAAGCTAATATCAAACAACAATATTCATGGCTAAATCACAACCCCAGAACAATGGGTGTTTAGCCACTCATGATGTAATCAAATAATTGCATAAGTGTTGAATCAATTGAAAATACTAGAAAAAGATGAAGAAAACTGAGAATTCTCCGCTTCCTCACGATCCCATGTGTATTTCCTCTCCAAAGTGGTGTCTCCCCCTTCAAAAATAGGTTTAGTCTTGCTTTTATACGTGTTGGATAGGTCTAGGGCCGAAATAACCTTGTCCCGGGCGAATTTGGAGAAATTTCACGGCACTGACGCCCTGGCTAGCGCCCTCCATGGCGCCCTAATATTTTTAGCTACTGTTTTTGGTGCCACAGGTAGGGCTGGTGGCGCCCAAATTCGCAAGTTTTCCGATTTCGTTCGTTTTGGCTCAAATCTTGTGCGTTTCGCCCCCAATTGCACCCGAATCATTCCTACACATAAAAACACTTCAAATTAATATAAATCATAGCATTTAACATCCCAAATTCACGAAACAAAAGTAAAATATGAGGCGATATACATAAAAATATATATGCTTTAAGCTAAACATCAACACCCCACACTTATACTCTTGCTCATCCTCGAGCAATGGGGCAATCTACTACCCTCAAACTACGTACTAGTATTAATTATAGATGAGCACTTTAACTTTTAACCACACACTATACCCTTGACTGTGATCAATACCGGCACACAAGCATGAACACACAAAAATTCACATTCTTCCCGTTTAAGCATGCCCAAGTATAACCCTTCAATTCAATCAATTCCAACAGCCTATTTGTCACCACCCAACCTCAAAAGCTGACTTGTAACCACTAAGCACCCTCAATTCATGCACTTATCCAACAAGAAAATTTACAACATTACCAATCATTCATGAGATCATGTGCCCTCACCAACAAACAAAAGAGTGAATATAGACTAGTCCATACATTCAAAGATGCTTTTGAACATAATTTAAGGACATCACACAATTGAACCAAATTCACTCACTCTCACAAAGAGTTCATATGCATCCCGTGATCGTACCATAAGCTTGCCCGTAGTGTATATTTCTACTAATTTAAGCTAGTCAAATCTAGGATCAATTATGACTTTAAGTTTGTAATGTAGGCTAAGGGGAGGGTATGATACATTTAGAGATAGTGACTAACCCTCCTAAGTACTTTAATACACTACATTCACAATTCAAGTGCATATTCTTCTCAACCAATTCACTTGCCACACACCATATGCAACATTGCCCTCTTTTCAATTAAGCACTTCTATAATTCCACTAGCACAAATCAATAAGAATTAGAGGTGTATGTGTTTTTCTGCATTATTTGAACTATCATTTTTTTTTCTTGTCTTGCAATTTTTTTTTCTTTTTTTTTCTTTTCACACACTCCATACATTAAGGTTCATTGGCTAGTGTCTTTTGATTTCAACTTTAGTGCACTAACGGGCCCTTCCATGGTTCCACCCAAAAGCTACTCCCCAATCTCTAACCTTACTTATTTTAGCGACTAAGTGCCTTAGGAGGTAAAGGTTC